CCATCCTGAAGAAGAAGACATCCCCAATTTCAATCCCAGGAATAGAACCCACGATTCGCTTATCACGATTAATCCAAAGCCCACGGTCCCTCATCACCGAGGCCGCCAGTAGATCCCCACGAGGCTTTCTGAAGTAGGGACCCATAGCGCTGAGGCGCTTCTGCTCCTCCGCGACGGCGAATACACGGAACGAGTCGAACAACAACCGAGTGCTGCGAACCATCTCCCTGAAGTACCGCTTATCCTCAATCTGAAGGTCCGTTACCCGGACGAGCTCCGACGAGCGTTTCGCGTACTTCCGCTGCGCCCGAGGCACCAGGATCGGGGCAACCTCGTTCTCGGTGTTGACGGGTACAATCGCACCAGCGTCCGGGTCCAACGCCGTGACATCGTCGCCAAACTGCTGCTGCTGCTGCTGCTCCTCCAGGCGTTTGGCGAAAGCTGCCCGGAAGATCTCCGAGATTCGGTTGTACTCCGAATACACATTGTCTTGTTCGGCGGAGACGATGGCGGACTGGGGGAGAGAGGTATTTTGGGGATCGGAATAGAAGTTGAGAGGAGCGGGGTCCTGGAAGTAAGCGTCGTCTTGTTCTTGGAGCGGCTGGGCATCAATTGGGCCCTCGTCCAGAGGCTCGAGTTTGGGCTCGATTTTGGGAACCTTCAGTATGCCTGTAGTTGAGGCCGCAGTGCCGGCGGAGGCGCTGGCGTTGCCGTTGCCGACGGCCGGGACCGGAGTGAGGTTGAGGTCTTGAAACGGGACGATCTCGCCCATTTCTTAACCGATGAGATTTTGTTACAGAATTCAATTCGCAAAAAAAGGGAAAGAGATGAAATGGGTTCTTCAGAGGGTATTCGTTTTCCTTGTTTGCTAGCAGAGTAAGAAAGGAACCAGAGAGATTATTTCACCATGGCGGAAGGCTGACGAAACGGAGTTAGAGAAATGGGGGAAGTGAGCTTTTCACAGAGATGAAATGCGGTCATCATTTCTTGAAAAGAAAATTAACTTCTTATTATTTTATTATGATTATTATTTTGAAAAATGAAAACAAAGACATCTGTAATGACGAAAACAACCTTGGGTTATGAAATGTCTTTAGCAGGTGGAAGGTCTTGCCACCGTTGGATTTGGTGGTGGTTGGGTGGAGAGGGTGACCTACTTTATTTATTTATTTATTTTTAATGGTTGAAAATGAATCTTGAAGTTGAAGAAAAAATTGGGATAAGTGCGTAGAAACTGGAATCAATAATATTTTCTTCACGCATTTAAATAATTATTATGTTCGACTTATTTAAATATTTTATAAATAAATTTTGGCATTCGATTCAATTAAGTATGTGAAATCGATTGATTTAGAGATAAATGCATGAACTATTATTCGTTTGCTGATGAAATCTTGAAAGTAAAGGAACATGAAGAGGTGCCAAGAAAAAGGATCAATAATATTTCTCAATTAAATAATATTCTTGTAATATATGTTTGTCTTATCTGAATATTTATTTAATAAATAATCGAATCAATCCAATTAAGTATGTTTAGTATTTAAATGGGTCGATTTCAGAATAAATATATGAATTGTTGTATAATTGTGATGTAATGTTCAAATACGCTTATCAATTTGATAAACATACAAAATGAAATAAAGAAAAGTGTCAATCTTCCATGAAATGTTTGCACAAATATGAGTATTCATATCCTCAACATAACCCAATTCATTTTCACTACATGTACTATCATGTCTCATCATATAATCACATCATGATTTTTTTCTTTCTATATTTTATCATCATTATTCTCTCTCTTCCATAATTTTCTTCCTTTCCTTTTCCCTGGACCACCCACTAGGCCATAATGAGTGGTAGTTAGGGGCCCAAAAAATTTGTATTTATCAATGTAGGCCCACAAGAAATAACAACAAATGTTTGACTTAGTGGTAATACCACATTTTAGAATTTGAAAGTCTCATGATCGAATCCCTTAAATAGTGCTTAATAAAAAAAATGTAAAACATATATCACTTTTATCCATAAAAGAAAAGTTGAAAGAGCAACCGAGTATGTTATGAAAAAAAAAGATAAAAGAAAAACAGGAAGAGAGATTGAGTATTTGGCAACGAGAAGATAAAAAGTGAGAAAGTGAATGGAAAGAAACAACCAAATGGCCCACTTATCACATGTGGATGTCTCACCATGGGTGATGGGAAATGACAAAAAATATGTACATCTTACTTTGGTGTTCACAACAGAAAATGACAAAAAAATTAAAAAAATAGACAAAACAAGTGAGTATGTTATCAAAATAATAAAAAGTGGGAAAAAGAAGTGAGTATTTGGTCTCGAAAAGATAAAAAGTGAGAAAGTGAACGGAAAGAAGACCGTCAAACGCGTCACTTATCACATGTGTTTGTCTGACCATTTTTTATTGTTTTATCTTATTTTGATTGTATTTTTTAGAATATTAATGCAACTAATATTTTTTTAGCCATAAGATGAGAAAATTCATTAGTGACACAACTCATTATGAATAAAGTTGAAATAACTGTTTATGACACAACTAATTCTATCAAACATGTGATTAATTTATGGCCATCTGACCAATTATTAGGTTTTATTCTTAATGATGTCATATTTAATTGTTGAAAAAAGTGTCAAAACAGAAAACAAATTACAATAAAATGTCCATCTTAATTAGGGATGACAATGGGTCGGGTCGGGGACGGATAGTGCATATCCGTTACCCTACCCAAAGTAGTTCGGATTTTACCCATACCCATACCCACATGTGAAATGGGTAGAAAATTAAAACCATGCCCATACCCGCTCGGGTTTCGGGTATCCACGGTTATCCATGGGTAATGATTTATCTTCATAACTCTAACCAGTATGTTAACATTCACACGTATTTTCACATTACGTAAGAGGAAAAGTATGACAATAATTCACTAGAATGAAGAAAATTAATTAAAACAACACAATTTTATGAAAATATTATATTTATATGCTAAATATAAAATATCTTAGAGAAAAATAATGATCATTTCTAGACAAAATACATATGTATGTGAATAATCGGACGGGTTCGGGTTGGATAGTGAGAAACCCATGCCCACCCATTACCCGTAATATTCGGGTTTGGGTTTTACCCATACCCACTAAATGTCCTTCGAGTTCGGATTTTACCCTACCCGATTAGGCCGGGTTCTGGCGGATATCCATGGTTACGGATATTTTTGCCATCCCTAATCTTAATTGATTATAGCTAATTATATAATGACTGAATTATCTAATAAGGGAACAAACTCAACACAAAATTGATTTCTTCCAAAATTACCTTTAAATTTTTCTCACTTTTCTCCTTCCCCTACTTTGGCTCTCCCTTTGTTGGGGCCAAAAGACCATCTCCAAAAATTTCCAGTTTACTCACCTCATATTATGGATGGTATTATCTATCTAGCTATCCATCATGTCTCACTAATTTGGTTACTATGCATATGTCCACTTTTTATAGGGGTGGGCATTCGTTCGAGAAACTGTAATCGAACCGGACCAAACCAACCTCTAACTAGGGTGTAATTACCGGTTCGTTTGATTTCCAGGTCTGGCTGTATTTCAGGGTGTAATTACCCATTCGTTTCAATCAATATATGATTATCTTTTGTAAAAAAAAAACAACCTCTAACCTGTCCCAACTGAAATAACACTTGTTAGGCCAAAAATCGAAAGGCAGATGGATTGTTTCAAAATTCAACTCGGACCAAACCGAACCGATAACCCAAATTCAACATCCCCCATTAGTGAACTGCTATTTGCCGCCAACCAAATTGCTATTTGCCGCCAACAAAAAAAAAAAAAGTATATATGTACATCTTTTGTTTGGCGGCAAATAGCAAGCCCCCCCTTATCCCTCGACCTCTAGATAACCCCCAAAAATCAAAATCTGCTTCTCCTCTTGAGGGATCTGTGAGATTTCCCCTTCTTCACCACTTTAGTGATGGTCGGATATGGAAAGGATGAAGAGTTTCGCCTAAATTCCCCCTCCACTCTCTCGTCTTCTCTCCAAACTCTTAATTTTAAGACAATTAGACCAAATTGTCTCATTCAATTGCTGAAACCAAAAAATCCTATACGGAGAGTGAAAGTAGATGTTCTTTCTTGCAAAGCTTTCGTTAGCCTTTGTGGCTTGCGTGTTTATCCACACAATCGCATGGTCTCTGGTTCAAAGCCTCAGTGCTCTTTCTTTCTATCTCTCTCTTTGTCTACTCGAACTAGATAAAAAGGTGTTTTTATCATTCTACTTATTTATATTTTTACCATACATCGGGTTAGAGCATGCCACTTGGAGTGCTCTCTTCTTTTTAATCTCCTATCATTTATAAATGATTGTATCTTCTTCATTCCAACTTCAAACTTAGACATTATCGTACAAAAAATAAATTTTATGGCTTGTAAAAAAATGATATTCATTTTGTCATATTTTGAAACAAAAAATTGGTCCTTTTAAATATATAGCCACCATTACATGGTCTACCATAGCGTAGATCTAAGGGTCGTTTACTTCATAGATTTGAAAAATGAGAGTTTTGGTAAAACCTAGATTTTGAAAACCCTAACTTTAAGATGGACTTGTTCGCATTACAGGAATAATCTATTATTTGCTTGTTGGATTTTATTATGGATTTTGCTTGATTATATTTGTCGGTATTTTGGATTTTTAGCCTTCACCTTAATCCCACCGCCAATCATTTGATTTGCAAATTCGTGGAGGGTTCACAGATGTGGACTCTTAAAGTCCATGAACCCCACATATTTTATTCTTCTAATGTTTGCTTAGCAAACAATGGACTTCGAGACCTTAAAATGCATGGAACTCAAATTCCTCACCAAATCTATGAAAGCAACTGACTCAACACTTTTACGTTGTACAACCAACCAACCTCTTGTTCACCAAATTAATCTGCGCTTATTAATTAATTAATTAATTAATGAATTATGACTTACACCAAAAGATTATAAAGATCCCAAAATAAATTATACATTATGATGAATTGGTTAATATAAATGATAACCAAAATTCATCTGATCAACAAAATCCGTACAAAACTAATTATCCCACAATACCTACAAACAAGAGCCATCTCTTCCCCTTTCCCCATTCCAAAAAAGAACCAGAGGGGAAAAAATCCGAAAATGAGAGGAGCAGAGTTTGGGAATTGACCAAGTCAGGGAGGTCCAGCAGGTGGATTATGGAGCTCTGTTCTAACAACAAAGAAACTACCCTAAACCCAAATTTAGCTTCAACTAAAACTATTCCTCTGCATTTCTACCTGTCTCTCTTCCTTCAATCAAATTTGGGAGGAACAGTTTTTGTTAAGTTGCTAATTTTCCTCTCCTCTCTCCATTTTCTTGACTTGGGGACAGAAACCCCCCAAGAACCAACCAACAATAGCAAAAACAAACAGAAAAAAAAAAAACGAAAGGAACCATCTTTGCCTGAAACAAGAAATCAATCCAATCCCTCTGGACCTCTGTTTTCCAGCAACAGAAGCCCTGCCTCGACCCCTGTTTTATCTGCACCTATGGGGGTTGACGGTGGCGATTGAAGGAGGCGTCTGCAGCTGCGGCAGCTCGGCGAAAATGGGAAGCGACACGACGACGAGGAAAGTCATGGTGGTGGTCGACCCCAGCAGGGAAGCGGCCGGCGCCCTTCAGTACGCATTGTCCCACGTCGTCACCGAGAAGGACGAGCTGATCCTGGTCCACGTCGAGACCCAGAACTCCTGGAAGAACACCTTCTCCTTCTCCTTCCTCCGCCGGACCGGAATCTTGATCCCCGCCGTCAACAACAACAACAACAGCAGCCTTAACAACAGCAACCAGTCCTCGTCGGGCGGGGAAGGGATGGTGGAGGGAGAGGTTGATTTCTTGGAGGCGATGAGGCAGCTGTGCGAGGCGGCCAGGCCGCGGCTGAAGGTGACGGTGGAGAGGCTGCAGATGGGTGCCAAGGACAAGGCCAGCGTCATCCTGTTCAAGAGCACCGCCATGGGCGTCGACCATCTCATCATCGGCCAGAAGAAGAGCCTCTCCAGCGTCTTGTTAGGGTGAGTTCATGACTTTCCTTGCTTCACAAGGAATCGTTGTTTTGCAGAGCCAATCCCATATGGATTTTTGCTTACTCTTGTGTGTTCGTCTGTGTGAAATCAGGAACACGAAATACAAGAAGCCAGGAGGGCTAGGGCCGAAGTCGATGGACACGGCGGAGTATTTGATCGAGTACAGCAAGTGCAATTGTGTGGCAGTGCAGAAGAAGGGACAGACTGGAGGATACCTGCTGAATACAAAGACCCAGAAGAACTTCTGGCTACTTGCATAACCTAAACCATAACCCAACCTCCTGTTAATTCATATACATAAATCATAATGTATGCTTTTTTTTGGAGGTATTCAAATCATCAATTTCCTGTTTGGTAATTGAAGTTTTTTCTTAAACCCTAAAAATTACGAATTGTTCGTTTTCGTTTCTCATCCGACTCGGTGAGTAAATATATTATTGTGTTTTGCCCAGAAACAACATGATCACAGGGGAGCATCTCCAATTTTTAGTTGATTCTCAAGCTTTGTTCAATACCTTGCAACAATCAATGAATCAATGGGGGTTATATAGATGTTTCTCATTCCTTTTCTTCCCCACTTCTTTTCCAAGTGAAAATGGGGGTTATATATATCCAACAGAGAAAGAGGAAACAGAAATGGGACTCTAACTTGCATAATCTTGTTGTATTTACTTCAATCCCGTTTTCCTTGTTCAGTAAGGATTTAGCAAATATGCATATATCAAACTCAAGACAAGAGTGATCTAAGCGATTCAACCATACAGGAAACATTTACTGGTAAGGGTATGGCGAAACAATACAAGCCAAGGAAGAAATTAATAACCCTAGGAAGTCTAAAGTTCATCATGCATGGCATGCTTCAACAGACCTTGCGGATCAGCATTTTGGGGGATTCGAGCGAGATTCTTAATGCCTTCTTCAACTGCTTCACGCCCCCCTTTTCCAGCCATCCCTGCCTTAATTGCAGCAGTTACCGTTCTCTGCAGCCTGAGTAGCCCAATGCGCTTGGAGACCACATAAAGTACAGCACAAGAGAACAAGAAGAATCCCACAGCAATCACCAATCTGTCCAAAGAAAAACCATCCAAGAACTATTAGTCCTGATGAAAGAGACAAACTGTTATCTGCCAAATATATGAATCCAGTTCTCTATCAGTACCTGTCGATAACATCATGTCGTTGCATAGTGGACAGTAGGTTTCTTGTTCGCATCAACAATGAGCGATGGCCCTTGTACTCACTTTCAGCCTTTCTCAACACCCCGGTAGATTCGTCTGCAAAACCCAAAGGGAATCAGTTGGTGGGATGGCCAACAGACAGGGGAGCATAAGGTCCTTTCATTTGCAATTTTACGTTCAAGATCACACTCCATGCAGTATTGGATGTAGCATTAATCATGTTGTGATTTCAAACACAATTGCTTAACAAGCTAAATGCATATCTGCACACAGAATGCCTTGGGTGAAAAGTCACAAGGAACGCTTCAGATGCGCTTAGTTTGACATCGACCATCATATTTCAAAACCAGGAAACAGCCACGGCTAACTACCACATGCCAGCATAACACAGAGGCTTTGAGATGTCATCCTTATAAAAAAAACAACCACAGAGGCTTCGTGCTTGCAGAAAATATGAAACAAAACAAAGCACAAAGAAGGAGCAAAGAGCAAAAGAAGAAAGCAAACACCTACCAAAAGTCATAAGTGTGTTAGAACTTCTTTCCACCTCCTGAAACAAGGAACAAGAAAGAATTTCAGACAGCAAGCTAGAGCTCCCACCACCAGCCCACCACTGCAAATCTTCACATGAGATTGGAAGTAGAATAAATGAAAAGGTAACTAACCTGAACCATCAGCTGCCGAGTGCGCCTAAGGCTTTCTGTAATGCTTTCAGCTGCAGATGTCATCCCAGCCTTTGTCCTAGAAGACATAAATTATTGTGTCAGTCATTGCCAATTTGGATGAACCAAAACATATGGCGAGGAATGAAAACTGCATCAGTCAAGTGCCATCTCAGTTACATGTTACGTACTGTAGATTTCGCCTGCGAGCTGTGGACTCTTCTCCACCTCCCAAAAGCAATTTTCTCTGGGGATGCAGAGAACCATGTCAAACCAGGCCTCAGCAAACTCATTTATGCTAGAATTTATCCCTGCCCATGAAGGGTATATGTGGGTATCCTAACTACCTCGGTTATAACAGAAATCAAGAGACAAGAGCAACAGGCAATTCATGGATTCTCCTCTCATGCAAAATCAGTTGAAAGTAAATGATGACTGATGAGTAATACCTCATCCTGTGCAGCCTTCCTTAGGTTAGCCTTTGCTTGCAAATTGGCATTCCTCAAACTCAGCCGCAAGCTGCGTAAGAAATCAAATACGAACCCCCATAATCAACTACCATTGTGATCTCTCACTCCATAATTCTAGGGTAAGAAACCAAACCACGGAGAAAATTGGGCACCTATGGGACTGTTTCTTCCAGGATTCGAGCAGCGACTGCGCCGATTTAACTTGATCGTCGGCGGGCAACTGCGGAGCCAAGAGATCGAGCTTGAATTCCAGCGACTGGAGCAGCGCCAATCCATCTTGCGCCAGGCCGTTCAATCTGGGAAGCGAATTCTTTTCCTGCGAGGACGCTCCTTCGATACCATCTCCGGATTTGCGATACTCTTCGATCGATTTTATGTGGATCTGCGTCTTAGCATAAGCTTCCTCCCATTCCTGTTTCGCCTTCTCTACTGCCTCCACCACCTCGTCCATTACAGCAAATCCCAAAGCTCAACTCTTCCCCTTGTTTGGGTTTCAGGGAAATTTGTCGGAAAGTAGATGTTAGAATTCTCGCGTCCAATCGAAGACGGAGATCGGCTGAGGAAAAAAAAAAAAAAAAAACAGTTCCCGTTCCGTACGAATCCGTGGCATCAACGGTTTAGTTGCCGAAGATCTTTCTTGGGCTTTCTTGCTGTCCCTATAGGTCTGGCCCAACGAAGAAAATGGGTTTTTCTCTCCTTTGGCAAAAATACACGGCCCAATGTCCCAAACACTGTAATACCAAATCTTATGGCATATAGATGTTCCTATATGACATTTGTTACACAAACTAATGTTCAACTTTAATGACCTTTGCCATATGAAGCATTATTCGAACATCGAATCTGATGAAATCGGTAGACAACAGCGAATGCCTATGAACGATTTACGTGTAAAATTACTACGAAACAGTGAATGTACAACTTCCATTAAGATCAAACGAAATCCGTTAGGACCAACAATCAAAGTAAACACTAGTTGCGGCTAGGTTTGGCACAGATGAGGCAACCTGGGGATCAGTTAGCGTGACTACCCCTAAAGGGGTAGTGATTTTTGACACCCCCTTTATGATTGGCCAATTTTATTTCCAATCATTGGCAAGTATTAATTAAACTGATTTTTTATTTTTTTTAATCTTGTAATTTGGGGTCTCTCACCACATTGGAAAAGAGAAAGAATCTGGGGAAAAACGAAATCACCCCCATTAATTACATAATTAATTTCTCTCACTGATACATTAATTACACGTACCACTCCACTGGTACACGTACCACTCCACTGGTACACGTACCACTCCACTGGTACACGTACCACTCCACTGGTACACGTACCACTCCAATGGTACACGTACCACTCCAATGGTACACGTACCACTCCACTAGTGCGAGCAATCCACAAGGTAGGTTAGAGTGAGAACAATACCAGTGCAATGATATTTTTCATAACAATGATAAACAATAATAGGGAAAAAATAGGAACTTTCCATTAGTAGCCAAAAACTGTGTTCCAAAATGGGTTGCAAAATTAGGGAAATGCCAACAACAATGCCAAAAGCAATAAATTATCCTTCGAATGTGAATAAACATAAAGTCTTCACAATTTTTTAAGCCTAAACAGGACATATGGTTACACGTACCACTCCACTGGTACACGTACCACTGGAGTGGTACGTGTACCAGTGGAGTGGTACGTGTAATTAATGTACCAGTGAGAGAAATTAATTATGTAATTAATGGGGGTGCTTTCGTTTTTCCCCAGATCCTTCCCCATTCATAATTACCAACGTTTTTCTCCTTCCCCATTCATAATTATTATCACAATTAAGGCTTTCCCAATTTACAAGATTACAATAAATAAAGTAAAAAGCTTAAATGGAAAAGTGACCAATCAAGAGGAGGGTGTCAAAAACCACTACCCCTTTAGGGGTTAGCATAGTATCCGACCCCGGCAACCTGAAGGTGGGAGAGGTGGCATTTACAAAATTGTCTTCACCTCATCTGACGGTTGAAGCTGTACATACAATACAACAGATGTACATGCAACAACGAAAGCAGTCAGCAGGGAGACAGCCACCACTATTGCTCAATGTTCCTCATCCCCATCCATGAACTCAGGAATACAATGTGAAAAGCAGAGAACTTCCGAGACAAAATTAGAGGATCAGCATTCTAGGGGTGCTATCAGTGGACTAAGGAACAGTCGCTTTCAAGGGACATGTTGGTCGTCCCAAAGTTCCGATGTTTGCCATCTGCAATGTTTGAAAGCTGGAAACCTCTGCTAGGGAGCTGGTTGATGAGGAGTGTTTCGAGTTGGCAGGCGATGCTCTTTCCCGGTACAACGAAGTAAAGAAATGAGGCACTCTGCAGGCCTTCCTTGGCACGATGGGCTCGTACTCGGCCTTCAAGATCGTCAGTCTGTTTGAATCAACAAAGAAAGCGAACTCAGGAGAGTCTGCATAGCAAAGAATTGAGAATGAACGAAGAAAGAACGGCAGTTGGAAAGGGGATTTACCACTCCGACGTATAGTTTCTTGTCTGGTCTCAACATCACATAGACTGCTGAAGAACCGATTGTTGATGGCGGTGGCTGCTCCCTAGCACCAATGGCTACACAACGAACCACTTCGATATCTGAAATGTCCCTCTGCTTGTAGAGCTCAATCAGCATCCTCTGACATATTATGGTGACCGCACTCTCAACATCTTTGTGGTCTATCGCACTCTTCTTGCTTGTTGAGTGGATTCCCTGATCAAGGCTTCCTGCTTTAGCTTCTCCCTTTGATGGACCATTGGCTTCATCAGGACCTTCCACATCTCTACCAGAAGAAACGTATCGTACTGAACTTGTTTCCTTTGATGGAGGAAGGTCTTTCGTATAAGCAGACAAGTACAAGCTTTCGGCTCTTTGGAGTACCGTGTCAGGGATTCCTTCATTCTTTGCGGTTTCGAAAGCAAGACTCTCTCTACATACCCCATCTATCAGCCTCCATGTTGGTTTTGGTTGCCCATCGACATATTCAGTTCCCATTGCTTTATGAACTGTGTTCTTGGTATTTAGTGGCAAATCAAATATTCCATGGAGATGAGTGGAAACAATACCCAGACAACCAATGTTATCAAGTGTTTCAACAATGCTTCCAGCAATGCATGTTCCCTTGGCTGTTTCAGTCCCTCGGCATATTTCATCCACAAGCACAAGGCTTCTTGCTGTTGATCCACTCAGAATAGAACGGATTTCTGACATTTCTACCTGAAACATTAATCACGTGGCATAATGGCAGTTGTATACTAGAGATAAGATACAGAATACATGGTGAACGCAGATTTGTCATGAGAAGATGAAAAGTAAAAACTCAAGCAAAACAAAGATACCTGAAATGAACTTTTCCCATCAGCAGGACTGTCGTATGATTTCATGTGCAGCATAATAGAATCAAAGTGAGGAATCACTGCTGATTCTGCCGGCACCATAAATCCACATATGCCAAGCAAAGCAGAAGCGCAAATGGATCGAAGCAAGCTGGATTTACCGCCACCATTTGGCCCCGTCAAAAGAAACAAGGACTGCATGTCTACAGTATTGTACACAGCACCACCTTCCGCCACATCGAACCAGTATGGACTCAAACCAGATAATTTCATGTGGTGAGCACGTTCCGAAAGGATCGAATCCTGTTTGCAAAGATCAAGACGTAAATTTTACACTTGATAGAAAAAGGATATGAAAATTAAGAAGAGTAACTTGTCAGCAGAACAGAAATTTGAGGAAAAAAGAGGGTCATAACACAATGACAGTTCTAAACGAAGTTATAAAGTTGTCTCATTGAGGAAGTGGCTGCACATTACCTTAGGATTATCGAACCAAACAAGAGAAGGGAATGCCCATTTCCTGCGCCTCCCTTCACTGCGATTGATAATGGAAACAACATTTTATAAAATTATTGAAGAAAACAATGGACAAGGTTACATTGCAAACCACTAGAGCTCCTTCTGTAAAGTTCCCCAACCTCACATGAGCAAACAATGCCTTCGTGATAACAAGCAACATTGAAGCAAACACAAGGACATTGATTTTGGATTGAAGCTCAGCAGAAAGTTCCCTCAGCAGTTGCAAGACCCTTACTTTAGCCTTCTCACCTGCTTCATGATACCTGAAGTGATATACAAAAAAACAAACAGTTAATGTTGCGGATGATGTAAACAAGTGCAAAGAAAAATCAGTTGTCCCATAAAGCAGCTTACTTTGCCAAGGCATCTTCCACTTTCAAAGTAGTAAACCATTCCTCGCCAACTTTTCTTCCTTTAGAATCTATTGCAGCTTTAAGCTGTTTAATCTGTTCTTCCCCTGGAGTGCCAGCCCATACAGCTGGGGCAAACCTTTTCCCCTTAAACCAAACAGCTTCATGCTCTCGAGCATATACTATTTCCCCCTTTGGCCCACCAAGAGGGGCAGTGGTGGCTTTTATTCTTGATATGATGGGGAGGAAATCTTCATTGACCTACATGAATGTGAAAACCTACTCAGGTATCTAGCGAGGCATTGGAATTTGGAAACACAAAATAGAACTATAAGCCAAGTAACTTACTGCCAAAGACAAGGCATGGGCCGCTCTTTCTACTTCAGCAAATTCCTCCTGTATGTGAACTCTCTTTATACGGCCTTTCCAAGAAGATTCCATATCCTCAAAGAACTCACTTGGGATCACAGAAGAGAAACTTATTTTGCAGTCATTTTCTCCATCCAGGCATATCATTTCACAAATTCTACCTGAAGCCAATTTGCATTCACTAACCTGGATTAACAAAGCCAAGCAGACATTTGACTCATATTTAAAAAAGATATGGAAACAATGGAAAATGGTGACCAGAAACTTCCTTCAATTCTATCATCACAAAGTGACGGGCATACAATATATGTTAGAAGCTACCAGTTTAGATCCTCAGGTTTTGGAGTTAAAAAAGCTGCGGAAATTCTGTAGATTGAAAAAGGAAGACATCATTTCAAATAGCATGTTTATTAGCTGGCCATTTTGATTGGTGTCTATTGCCAAGTACATAAAATTCCATGAAGAGGCACGTTCTCGCTTTACATATGAAAATACCACAAACAAAGAAACCCTTTGTACAAAAGAACTTGATGCAACAGTGTATTGCTACTTACAAGAGTCTCAAAGTCAATCTTTAAACCAGTAGCCACCCATGTAGGATCCATCAGTGATTTCAGAATACCGTTAAGCTCAGGGTTGCTATACATTTGCAATACTTCCTCCAGTACATTTCTTATTCTGCAGAACTCTAAATGATTGGCTTCCCGCTGCTCAAGAAGCTTCACAATCTAAAATACAGAGAAACATAAGTTACTTATAAGTACTCCTGAATTATAATCCAGTGGTAAACCAAGCATGCTGACAGAAGAGGGGAGCGAGAGGACGTTTGGTGGTGGTGGTGATGGGGGAGAGGGTGAGGGTGAGAGGCATCAGATAGAAACCTTGCAACAGAGAGAATGAATAGACAATTTAACTGCAGATAGGACAGACAAAATTCAAACAAAAATCCACCTAGAACTTTGGCCAA